CAGGATGAGGGATCAGGGTGCGGGATCGGGATGCGGGATCAGGGTGCGGGATCGGGGGTGCGGGGTCAGGGTGCGGGGCGGGATGGAGGAGGAGGCTGCGGGATCAGGGTTGGGGATCGGGGCTGCGGGATCGGGGCTGCGGGGTCAGGATGCGGGCTCAGGGTGCGGGATCGGGGTGCAGGGTCAGGGTGAGGGATCAAGGTGCGAGATCGGGATGCGGGGTCAGGATGAGGGCTCAGGGCTGCGGGATCAGGGCGAGGGATCAGGGTGCGGGATCGGGGCTGCGGGCCGGGGAAGCGGGGCTGGAGGTGCCTTCCTGGACAGAACGCGGGGCCGATGCGGTGCCTGTGCCGCCGGCTCCGCCTTCCAGGGACCGGGATCCCCTCCCCGCAACGGCCCCGGGATCCTCCCTCTCGCTCCCAAAAGCAGCGCCCGGAACTCGCTGCTTTTTCGGCTTCAATGAATTCATTTCCCACCCGCCAAACACCCCCCCAAGTACCCACAGACACAGCCAAGGTGCCCTGAGACCCCTCGGGCTTTTCGGGGACCCCCTCCCGAGGGCAGTTCCCTGGCACAGGGTGATGATTTTCCTGCTGGACATGGGGCAGGGGGGAGCCTGGGGACAACCCGGGGCAGGGAGGGGACCCACAGTGTCCCCATCCCCTTAGGGTGGGACAGGAGGTGGTGGGAGAAGCTCTTCCCCAAATCAGGCTCCTTCCTCTTCCAACTACTGACACATTCCACAAGGAACCAGCATCCCAAGCTGGTCTCTTGCCAGGATCCATGACCCAGAGGGGTTAGGGATGGGGGTCCTCGTGAGCCTTTCCCATCCCCCTGGGGGATGCTCAGGGTTTGCTCCAACCAGTTGTTTTGTGTGTGTTTAATGGGAACCACACGTAGGGACTGGGAGGGGGTTGGGAGATACAACACGGATGCTCCAAAACCTGCTTCCCAACTCCTCATCCCATGCAGCAGTGGCTCATCCCAGGACACAGAGGGAAGCAGCCAGGGCTCCTGCAGCCCCCCCCCTCTGCTTCTCTTGCTTCAAAGCACCAGCAGCTCAGCAAAAACCACTTTATTTCACATCCAATGGCTTTTTTTTTTCTGCTTTGCAGCCCCTTCCGCGTCTCTTCAGGGGGGCTACTCAACATCCCCCCTCCAACCCTTTCTTCTCCTTCCAACCCCTCAAAACCTTGCTCAAAGTGACACCCTGAGATAACAGCGTCCTGCTGGGTGTTTTGGGGGGGGGGTCCCCGGTGTGTGTCCCCCCGCGGCAGTGGCTGCCTGGTGGCAGCAGAGGGCGGCAGCAGCTCAGAGCTGGCACCGAGCAAATCCTCCC